GGAAGGAAGGAAGGAAGGAAGGAAGGAAGGAAGGAAGGAAGGAAGGAATTATAGCAGAGGTACAGTAAATTGCTTACAGTGTAAGTACATATTATAAACATAACTGTGTGAATCAGTCCTGAAACTGGTTGGATAAAATATGGACAATTGCCAGGATATGAAAAATTGAAGTATTTTAGGGAAATAGTTATTTCAGCATGCTGATAAAAGTTTTGTTTTTTTCCAAAAAATGAAAAGCATTATAATCATCTAGAAAGAGGAAGACATTTTCAGAGGGTAGTCAGGATTGTCTGCAATAGAAGAGCTCGATTCAAGTTCAGTAGCTTCTTAAAGACCAACAAGATCTTGGGGATTTCAGCTTTCAAGAAGTCTCTAAATTGCTAACGGACTCTAATCTGGCTCTTCTACAGGGAGACATGTAAATGCTACACAAACTGTGCCAAGGATGTAAAATGAATACTGTATAGGATGTCAAGATTTGCATATTAGTATGTAAGGACAGAATCTGGTCTCCTTGCTTGCTCATCCAAACAAAGGGGGATTGATGTCTTTTCCTTTTTTTAGTGAGAACTAGTAGATGCTAGAACTAGTCCTGTGTGAATACCAAAATCACTTTTACTGCACTCATTTTCAGAGTAAACCAAATGCCTTCATTTACAAGAAAAAAAAAATCTTCTCCATTTGGGCAGTAGGCTTCAGAGAACAATATGCTGCAAAACCAGGGGGAAGGGTTGTCTACAAATAACAAAAGATGCACACGGAAAACTATATAAAAGAAAACCCTGGCATATGCAACCATAAGATATAAAGACATAAAGGCAGTATAATCATATATGAGCCAAAAACATTAAAAAATATATATAAATTTGAGCAGCTGGAGCTAGAAAAGCAAGTTTGGGAATTGCAAAAGAAAAAAAAAAAAGATTTAACGTAACCAGTAACTTATTGCTCTAAGAGAGTAAAATTGTCAAAGCACTGCTGGAGGCCCTAATTTCATTGGGGAAAAAACAAACATGCTGCCTTTTCATTAGAAAAGGGTTCTGGAAGTGTGAGGAAGGGCAATTAATTTGGAAGGTTATTGCCTCACCTAAATATAAGCAGAAAGCCCTGAAATATGAAAATGAAGCAATCTAAACTTCATCTAAAGATGTGCCACTTAAGAGGGGACATGCTAACAGTATACCAGAACAATATCACGCATTATACAGAGTGAGTATGGTATGGTTAGAGAGTCTGACTGTCTCTAGAGAGACACTGGTTCAAATGTGTACTATACTCTGAAGGTCACTGAGAGATTTGGAGCCAGTCACTCTCTCTTGGCATATTGATTTCTTTATTAACACATTTCTATCTCGCCTTTCATCGCCTTTCATCATGGTTTAAGGAGGCTCATAATAATAATTATAAACATTTTCAGTTGAAAATCAAAAATTAAATAACAAACCCCAAATCTCCCCCCTTAAAAGATGCCCTAACCCTAACTCCCTCAAAGACCCTGGCAAGCAGACAAGCACTTCCTGAAGATTTCCAAGGAGCCCCCCCCCTTCAGGGAGTCTATTCCACAGAGCTGGAGTCATGATGGAAGCAGCCTGGGCTCTGGTCAATGCCAGATGGGCCTCCCCGAGTGGTAGAATAGCCAACAGATGGCTGCCTGATTACCATAGGCACATATGACAGGAGACGATCCTTCAAATAGGTGGGTCCCAGGTCATGAAGGTCATATCCAGCACCATGAATGGAACTCAATAATATTGCACCACACCCACAGAATCTGGGATTTTCTGATACTAACTGAGGTGTATTATATTGTGTCCCTCTGCAAGA